GGCAATAAATTGTGTGTCCCCGTGATTCAGTTGTCTCCTTCTAGCTGTCTCAATCTTTGAAGAAGTTATTTTCTTCATGAACCACACTGACACGTTTCTTTTTCTTCGAGAAAATGGAGAAGAACAAGTTGGTTTTTACCACCATCGCTTGGACTTTTCGACCTTTTCCACGGATTGTATTATGTGACGAAGTTTATATGATAACACTTCTTCGATTATAGGGCTTTGAGAAGCTAATTGCCATAATCTGGAGAGAGATGAATGATTTGACGCCATTACACGCATCGCTGAGTTGAAGGAAGATCTGTAGTAACTGTATCAGCCGGTGACAGTGAAGCTTTGGGAAGAAGAAGAAGCGAGACATTGAAAACCCCTCGGCCATAAAATTAAATCAACTGGTCTTTTATGTTTTTTACTTTTTAAGTCGGTGAGAAACCCAAAGAATTAAGAGATAAATTAGTTTCTTTTTTTTTTTCTTTTTGGTGAACAGATAAATTGGTTTCTAGTGAAATAAATTCGAATTGTAGGAAATTGGAGTATTGTGGGTCCTTCCCAATAATGAAGAAAGAAAAACGTAGGCTGCATGGCCTCAAATACAACTACTAACTAGATAGAACCATGATGGATTTGTACCATTGCTCTGATTATACCAGCATCAAGCCAAAGATTATTCAAGTCGCAGAAACAAGGGCCATCCAGAGAGACTCAGAAACTCCGTCTCATCTTCTCCTTATGTGAGACTTCCTTGTACGATTTGATTTTTTTCCAGCAGCTTGCCTTACAGGTCTTCCTCTAACAATCCTGGTCTAATAGTTGATTAATGTTTTCATACGCCTTTAACTGAAGAAGAAAAATCATTTACACAATTTTGTCTATTAAAACATCAAGAAACAACACACTACCAGAGAAGAAATTTACAACATTCGAGATTCTAACTTCGTATGTAGTAAATTAAATGCTTCAATAAATTTGTCCATCATCTCATATCTCACTCATGTTGATAGCAGAGAGCGAGGGAGAGGGCTCCAATCCTTTACCGTTACAGCAGGGTCAGGCCTAGGGCCCAAAGGATCAAGCCGCCTCAGGTGGAAAATGGCTCAGAATCGGATCAGATCGATGACAAGGAGACAAAAGATACGTCAGAGAGGAAAATCAATGAGGGTTAACGGCATTGTCTTTTCAAGTAGCGTATTTTCTTTTTGATCATTTTAGTGTGAGAGAGAGTAAGAGGCTCCTAAATACCTCTAGCATTCGTACATTGTTTTGACAGTTTCGGAGTTATTCATCAATAAAGCTTTCATTTTTATTCAATCTTGAGTGTTTTACAAAGAATCACAAGAATCCTCCTATCACATGTCTTCTTTGATACATCCAAAGTACAAATAAAAGCAACAGAAAAAGAGTCAAGTGTAAAAATGTACCAAACCTGACAAGTAACTCTAGCCTCAAGTTACAAAGGTTGACCATCGATCCACCTTTGGAACATGATGTAACTATCCTCTGGTTTATACTCTGGTGTGTGTCCTCCTCCCTACAAGCAAACCCACAAATCAATTAAGTAACGTAATGCGAAAACCGCAATCAAAATGTCTAAAGCAGAAACAAATACAGAAAGGAAAAGACTTGCTTTGATAGTAGCAAATGTCATCTTATTGGCATAAGTCCTCGTGTATCTGACGAAAAGAGCGAGTCTAGTGAGCTCATACGACAAAACAATGAATAAAGAAGAGAACCAATCAAAAACAAAACCGGTAGTACCCAGCGATTTGATCACCAATCATCCAAGGTCTCCAGTCATCAATGATCGAGTAGTTAAGAGATCTAATCCAAGCTTGAGTTCCGAGGAAAGGTATTTCCAAGTCGTGATCACCACTGTTCATCCAAAGAACCGCTTAAAGTTTACAAAAGGAAGACTCTTGGGAGTACTTTTTTCAAAAGGCAGAGGTTAAACTATGACCTGAAGATAAGAGAAGGATAGCCATTGATGCTGTTATTCTTATGGTACGGTACGCTGCTTTTAATGTCATGAGTGTAAGGTATTTCCCGATAACAACGTATCCACTCCCCTATGCTCTCCTGCAATCATAGATCCTCGTTACGAAAAATGAGTCAAATTGAGCTTTTGTAATATTACATACCTTTTTTATTTGAAGAGCCCTGCGCACGCTCTCATCATTGGCCCAATAGGTAGTTAACAAAAACCGATACTCCTGCAGAAACGCAACCTTGTCAAACATATATTTTGTCAAACGGTTTAAGAGTTGACAGAGAGCAAGATGGATTATTTACATAGCAATCAGGAGAAGTTTTATCACAGTCTGATATTAAGATATATCCTGTGAATATTCTATCAGTGCACTGTAAATAACCACAAATGTCTGAATTAGTTATGATTTTACTAAACAGACAAACAGAACATTAACTATAAGTTCGATGAGTGTGTGTGTACCTTGTGATATTCTTCAACGAGTTTCAAGCATTCTGTGTTAAGTGGATCAACATTTTCATANTCTCCTTTGCAGATTCTCTTCATTGACTACGAAAAAGAGCTTTGAACTGCTTGTTATCTACTTTCATTGTTTGGGACAAGAAACAAAAACATGTCATATTGTTTATACCTCGTAGAGTTCATCAGAGATCAGTGCCATTCCATGAGCATAAGGAATCTGGTAGTTATGATCAATTCCAATTTCTGTTACCGGGTTTCCGAGAACATAGCCCTGTTTAATTTTGTCGGTGTATCGAAGAATATCGATTTTTAATGCTCAAAAAGGGTCAATGTAATAATATATATAAGAAGCAACAAATATTGATGAACCTGAAGGTTTATTGGAGGTTTGCAACATAAATATTTCCCTGCATCATCATGATTGTTATACTGTTATAAATTAAGCAAATATTTGACTAAGAAACAATACTCAAGGAAACATACCTTTTGAGATTTCTTGAACAAGTGCTGGAACAACCATACCGGAATAAGAATCTCCACCCACATAGAAAGGGTTGGATAAAAACTCTGGATGCTTCCCCAGCCACTGCAAAACAGCCACAACAAAGAAAAACACAAAAGGCTCATATAATGTCCTCTATGCATAGAAAAGAGATGTTTCAAGAGACGATAAAGTTTTCGTCTTCTATTACCTTGTGAAGAAACTCGTGGATCCGCTTAGCTTCTCCTGAATCACTTGGTTTATTAACAAGATGAGTTCTTGAGTAGGAGAAGCCAGTTCCAACAGGCTGATCCAAATATATTATACTCGAAATCTAAAGATAAAATGATACACAACTTAACTTATAGTGAACAATCGGGTGTGAAATTGAATACAACAACACTTTGTGCTTACTTTAGTCCATGAATATGAAGTAGAGACCAAAGAAGGAAGAGTTCCATTGTAAACATCAAGCTTCACAGTCAAAGGCCCTGCTTAAAAAAAAGGTGATTCAAACAAGTCACTGAACAAGTATGAAGCAGAGAAACAGAACAAAAGAGTTTTGAAAAAGAATTACCATTCTCAAAAAGAAGAGCAGAGATACAAGAGCAACCAGGTCCACCACTTAACCAGATAAGCAAAGGGTCTTGTTCTGGATTCCTCTCAGATTTGATAAAGTAGTAAAACAATTGCACTTCCTCTTCCGCACCAACACCAATATACCTTTTCCATTCACAAAGAATCATACAATACTTTTAACACAATCTCAAAACATGGTTAAATCACAGGAAGAGAGAAAAAACAAACCCGGTTTCAAGCTCGAAAGGAAGAGGACCATCAAAACCAGGAAGAAACTTGACAATAGAGGTAGAATCATCTGCATTCAAACTCC